ACTTCTTTGCCTATCATTCATCCTAAAGTTCAGGTTTTCATTGTTGGCCCGCTGAAGCGTTTCAATGTGGACTCAGCAGCAAGGTACCGTTATTGAATAGTTTTAACATAGTTATCCTTTTGTACATTCTTTCAAGGTCTTTTACACCTTTTGATTGTGCTCCAAACTATAAGTTTGACTTTAGGATGTGCGACTAAATCAAAGGTGTCATTGAAACACAGAGCTAATGTTTAATGCCGTCTAATGGCTTGTGGGTGGGACTTTTTTTTTCATGTGTCATCACCTTTTTAAATCCATACAACCTGTTTATTTGATTGAATTGTTTACTAGAGCACGCTGCGAACGCCGGATTGTTTTTCTGGCCCCAAAAGACAAACGTTAACACAGCTTGTTTATAAAACTGCTGAAAACTAGGTGTTTATTTTCTCTGCAGTAAAAAATACCCCCAAATATACAAATATTTAAAAATAAAGTTATATGTTCCTGCCTTATTACTGTCTTTGCCTCAATCCTCCCCTTGCTTGTGTACTATTAATGTTTTTATTTTTTTATTTTTTACAATGTCTAGTAAAGCCTCTGAGACTATTTTATTCTTTCTATTTACGGAGAATGGATTCCTAAATGAGGATATTTCAAAATTGGCACTCTAGCCTCTGAAGTAAATTGATTTGTACCTATTATGGAAAGAAATAGCCAGGGCTTTCTGTAATAGTCCGTTAAGAAGCTATTAGGAAGGCAACAGTAATTCATTCTGAACAATATTGTAATGAGTTTGCAATAGAAAGGTCCACAGAAGTTATTAATGAGGACTGGCCACGGACACCTAATTCAGAGCATTAACTCTAAAGTAGGAGTGTATGAAAATGAATAGGAGGAGCCTAAATTGTATTAAGCTTTAAGCTGAAATGACTTCTCCTGCCTTTTTTTCATGGCACAACCTTAAGTCCAGGAAGGAACTCCGCTGCTACAAGTGCCAGTGGAGGTTTGACCTTATCCAGCCCGGTACTGTACGAGTGAGGCAGAGAGAGAGAGAGAAATGAGAGCAAAAGAGAGGGAGCGTGAAATAGGACAAAAATGTCTCCAAGGGTGCGAGCGTGACTTCCACAACCGTGACGAGGAGCCGAGGGCCACACAGGCAACCTGCGGACAGCCCGAGGCGGGGCAGAACTCTTGGGGCGACTCCAGCAAAATGCCGGCAACCTAAAAAAGATTCTAATAATTCAGAGCAAGGAACAGGGAAGAGACGGGCGACGGGAGATAAACAGCAGGGTCACCGTCTCTGGTGGCTCATCTCCCCGCATCTGTGTATCCTGTGGGGTAAACCCCCACCCCCTCCCCCCCCTGCTGCTTTGTCCCTGCAGCGGTAAGTGACAGGGCCTGCAGAGAGGGGCAGGGGGGAAAGTCACTCCCATCTGGTACACTTACATCAGCGTGGTCTGAGATGGGGGCGCGAGGGGTCATGTGTCCCACCGCATCAGTGACGAGACCGCTCTGTCTGTGATGACACTTCATCTGCAGGGAGTAGTCGGTTTTATTGGTAGTAACAGGGCTTTTACATTTAAGGGAATTTGTTTTTTTTCCACATTACTATGCAGTTCCTTAGCCGGCTCACTGTGGAGATTCATTTTTGATGAATAAAAAATAACTGCCCTTCAGGTTGGACAAGAGGTTAGCTGGTATGACTCATGTTTACTTGTTACTTTATATATATATATATATATATATATATATATATATATATTGTATAACTTTCCATATAGATTTCACACAGTTTAAAGCACTAGATATCATTGTTCATTGCAGGCAGTTATTGATTATTAGGCCTTTAACAGACCGGCGAAGACGTTAAATTAAAACCAGTCACAACAGAGTCTAGCCAATATTTTTGATTACTATTGCATGCTATAATGTGTTGGTCATTTTGAATTAATCGTCCGTCCATCTGAAGCCATTGTCCTTTGTCATACAAGGTTTTCACCCACAGAATTAATTGTGCCAGCAGTGCATTGTGCCAGGAGAATTCTGCCACATACTTTTGGAGACAATGGAAGGGAGGTGTTACCGTTCTAAGGATCTCCGATCCCCCCGAGTTGGTTGATGAGAAGAATCGCAGCATGTTGATCAATTCAAGTCAAAAAGGTAACATTTATTTAGAAGAGAAAAAGATTATATAAGCAATTCTCCGCAGATATCTGGCTCTAACTATTGCTTGCAAGCAGGAGGTCCAACACACCAGCACGTATCTCAGCGCTCGGTGTAATGACGTCTCCGAGCAGTAAAAACGCTGAGTTTTTATACACACATGTGAAGGACATTCTCCGTGCCAGCTACGAGAAGCTGCAAAGCAGGTTGAGATAAGAACCCAGGTGAAGCTGAGGGTAGCGCGCACACACACAAGATCCTCCTCAGTGGCCGGTGCAAATCATAATTAATTGAAAAGTAAAAACGTGGATCCGGAACTTTCTTACCGAATAAGATATGAACTAAGGCCATGAACAGAAGTCCTTTGTTTTGAAGCTTCTATGAGATCGAGAACCGCCCTCCCTTCTCAGGACACGGCTGCAAACTAACATTTTGTATCATGCTGCTCTTTGCACATCAGGGTCAAATACAGGACACGTGAGACACGGCTTTAGCACAAAACAATGTTATAATATATTTTACCAGTACATGCACCTCACACCGTAAAACAATCCAACTATAAATAAAACTTAAATCAAGATGAAAGAGTAAAATGGGACAAAACTATAGAGAAGTGTCAGTATTTGATCGTTATCACATATAATTGAGTCCACCAGAAACTCAAATCTTTCATTTAAATGAAGGACATTTCTTTGACATTTCAGACTTGATTACGTCATTCCTTACTGGAAGTCTAAATGTATCATTGATGTTTGTGTTTAAATCCTAGTGTTTAAACTTTTGTCAATGATTGTTTTTCGAAACCTTTATTATTGTATACATGCAAATGTCAGTGTCGAGATGTCTCCCTCTTTGTCTTTGTCCACAATGACCAGTGGGTTTAAGATCGGACGGAGGTAAAACCAAACTGGTGAGTACTCCTTGCTCTTATTTATTTATATATTTTTTTTAGGAGCTTTTGCTGGGTTTGACGTGACACACTACATGAATATGAAATAAGAATGAGCAATACTCTTTTCAGGAGGTCCTTTTGTCCAGCTGGGAAGTTTGAAGACGGATACAAGAAAAGATTCCAGAATTGATGACATATTCGTACCCAAATTTTTAAACTGGATTAGTGTGACATTCATAATTATTGCTGGGATTTGTTATTCGGAAATGAAATCTTTCTGAGGATTCATTTTGGGGATGAAAGTCAAAGCACAATGAGTGCAATATCTTCTCAGGAGCCTAAATGAGGGATACAGATTATTTTTTTTCTTCATATTTGCCCTTCTCTCCTGGTTCACTTTACCTCCGTGTCTAATCCCCTTTCCTTTGGTGATGAGCCAGTCAGTAATTGCTTGATGAGCAGTCAGTCAAGGAGCATAAGTACACTTCCACCTTGTTTTCAGAGGGACCCCAGTGTGAAGGGCACAGACTGAATCTACGAGGTGACTTAAATGACTAATTATGCCGCGTGCTTGTTAGCTGGCGGGTCAGTGGACCATGCCAGCTGTCCTGCCCTCTGCCCCTCAGCTGTTAATCACAATGTCGCACAGACTGATTACTTGGCAGCGAACTACTTCCAATTTTATTTTGAAAGGAGAATAACGTCCAATTTAATGTTAAATGTATTAATGATATGAGAAGAATAATTTATCGGCCGTGTAAGTACGCTCCGTAAATTCTGCGAAGCGATAAAACCATCGTCAATCACGCGGGCCATTTTTGTATGAGCTTAGCCAGCATCCATCCATTCATCCATCCCTTTTATCTTGTTCAGGGTTGCTGTGAGCGTGTATCCAATACGCTACGTTCTCCATTTAAAAAAATGTTCCTGGAATTTTATATCTGAGTGTCTGTGAGAAACTACATAAGTACTTGGTGACAATTGTTTGTCAGTGCCATTTCAAATAGATGTGCCGACTGCCTGGCCATTCCAGCAAATCAAAGTGAATAACAGTGATGAAAGTGAACAATCAAAATCAAATAAAACAGGGTCACACATCACTGGAAGGGCAGAAAATGAGTAGTGAAATGGAAGTAATTTCTTTTTTCCCGTGTCTCAACAAAAAATGGGGGAAAAAAAGCCATCAGCTCTGTTCGAAAAGCAAGTTGTCATTTTGCCTAAAGCAGCGCTAACCGCATCAACAAAAATATAGGTCTGTGTAGAACTTTATATGACAGTGGAGGGTCACTCATTTTAATTCAAAAGGACTGATCTTTTGTGAAAATGCGCTGAGCGTTCCAAAACCCAAGCGAAGTAAAAGTGGTTCAAATAACATGAATTTTATTCAATTTGATTAGCTGATTCTGTTCTGCTGTGGCAGAGGTACCTGAGAAGGTAGGCAACCAGATATTCCTCCAATGTATATGCTGCATATGACAGAATATTTTCTAAAACATTTGCATGAAGGGCCAGCGTTAATGTTTCCATGATTGCTCTGGTAGAATTTCATTAAATTAAATTGTGTAATTTGAATGAAGAGGAAAAGATATTTTAGCAATTTCATTTCGGTGCTTCATAGTTCCTTGATGTTGTAAACAATTGCATTCAAATGCATATTTTCTGGGTATTGTCTATTTTCAAATTCACTGCTACCGAATCATACAAAAGTTAGCTAAGCCATTAAAACCCAATATAATTACGAATTCATACTACCATTCTTTTTTTTAGTTTTGAGGAAAAACACCGACCTAAAAGAAAAAGTTTCTCCAGGGGTGTAAATAACTGCTCTTGACAGTTGTTGTCAAATCATGAAAATTAAATCTAGGAAAACCAGTCGTACAGTCGTACAAAGACTTGCGGACCAACATTTTCTGTTATGGAATCTTTTCACAATAATTCGTATATTGTGTGAAATCACATGGAATACTGCCAACGTTAATGTAAACTCACTTGGCAATGCTTATTCCCTTCTGACTTTATTTAACAGCTTTGAGCAGCTGCCCTGGAACCTGGAATCTGCTACGAGTGGACAACCAACTCCCTAGTTAAAAAAATTGTACGAATGACTGAAAAATATTTCTCATTTCAAGTGAAAAAAAAAAAAAAAAGAGTAAAAAAATGTTATTTTCTCGTGTTTGACAGAAAGGAGAGAAAAAACCCTTCTCGGCCGCCGCTCTTGAGAGCACAGGGATGTAGAGTTTGTCTGCACTGGCGAGCAGCTTTCTCTAGGGGGGTATGAAACATGCTGGAGCCCATTAGGAGTCGACGGCCACCATGTTAAGCATGCGGAAGGTGGCCTCCTCCCTAATGATGTAAATGCTTGCCGACAGCATCCCCGCACACAGCTTGCATGATGAATCACACAGTCCGGGTAAACGGTGAGTATTACCCGTCTCTCTGTTGAGGTACAATTACGTGTGTGTGTGTGTGTGTACCTGCGGACATCTGCAGAGTAATTTGGTAACAGCCCATAGTTCTTCATGCTGCTAGGATAAATTCATTTCAATATTGTTTGTGTATTTTATTGGAAAAATTTGGAGCAGACTCCCACACTTTCTCGTCTTTCACATCGCAGTAAACAGAAAGGAAAATATTGTGTTTTGTTGTTGCCTCTTTTTATCCCATCCTCCTCCACTCTACATCCCCATTATTTCCCGTATGATTTTGAAGATTTCTTTTGTTTTGTCTGTGTACTAACTGTCATGCAGCCCTGACAGGTTGTTTGTTTGAGTCATCTTTGAGGAAAAACGCGAGCAGTGGCTGAAGGCTCAAACCCTCAGCATCAACAGACTGCGTTTCTCTCTAATCCCCAACCCCCACCGCCTTCCACCCCTGCAGGCCTGGCACATGTGTGACACATAATTGATTCATTAATAATGTGAACAGATGTTTCAGGTCCGGTCTGGCACTGTGCCAGCTTGCCAGCATGCTATTTTCTGCAAAGACTGCCAGGCTGCGTCCCGTTAAATGCCCATTGACGCAGAATGGAACAAGGTGATGCTTCTATGGTCCTTAAGGAGTGAATAGGTCACAAAATGTTGCAAATTGATATGGTATGAAAACACTCTAGTTGATTCATATATTTATATTTTTCATATTACCCTGTGTGCAGGATAAGCGGTTTGACAATGGATGGATGGATGGATGAAAATTTTCTCAAAATGCATGTTTAAATATGGAAATGAGCAATTCTTAAAATGATTTAAAAATTAAAACTTACGTTTTGCAAGACTCTACAGGTGAAAAAAATCTCGATTTTTGTATTGTCACGCATCCACTCTTCACAGGAAATTAACTAAGTGGTTTTGTAGCTTGAACCAACCTAGAGTAGATCCTTCTTTGAGTCACCTTTTGGTGCAAATTATCCAAATTTCCATTCATACCAAAGCCTGACTGCACAACCAAAACAGCCCTGGTTGCACAGCATCAAAAATTTGTCCCAATAATGTTTTTGTTTTTGTAAAGTTTCATTTGGCTCACTGGTTATTCTCTGATATCGGCGTATATGAGTGTATTTGTTTGGGCATTTCTGTTTGTGTGGAGTGACCATCATCATATTTCACCTCACGCTGGCCCGTCACACCTGGTCACACCAGGCCTGCTCTCGCTTGTAGGATATCAGATCACTATTAATCAGGAAGGGAAAAGGTTGAGAGAATAAACAGTTGTGGGAGGTAAAATAAAATGTCATCTCCATCCATGATAGCAACACAGTACACTCAATTGGTATCATTTGGCAACTGCATGCAGAGAATATCAGTATCCACTTCCCTTTGAAAGGAAAATAAGTATTGTAGCCAAGATGTGGGGTCTTTTGTTGTAATGAGATGGAAAGGAGAGGCTTTAGAGCTCATGGTGACGGTCTAATTAATCAGTCACTGTGGCAGTTTCCCACAGCTATCCATTAGGGTTTCATTGAACAAGTCACTGGAGCTTCAATCTCACTGTCATTGTCGGAAATAGCTCCATAATAATAACATGATTGCGGATTGATCACTGGAAGGCTTTGAAAGGAAATGCGTGTGGTGAGGAATAATGATTCCCTGCATACATCTGTGCGGCTAGCCCTCAACAAAAGGATTCAGCATTCATAACCAATTGGAAATAGTTCAAAATCATTTATGTTTCCCCATCAACTTGAAACAGCGTGACGGCAGCAACAAAGCGTGTTCACGAGGCGTCCTCGCACTGTGCCAATGAAGCACCAGGAGAACGTCAATTTGTGTTCTAGGTGAGAACCACTGCTGAGCGATATCTCGGCCTTCAGCATAAAGTCTGAGCTCCCCGTGGCCAACGAGGCACGCTCGGGAAGCAACCGTCTGCTGTAGATTAAAGTTATACAGTCTTTTAGCATGCCGTGCAGATATGATGAACTTTTTTAATGACTGCTCAGTTCATCTTCTGTCTGAGTTTAACGCAGAAGAGATCTTGCAAAACGAGCTGAAGACTGGTTAATCGGAAAGAAATGCAAAACTTATCCGTTTGCACTTTCCTCTCACCCAATTCATTCGCCGATGGATACGCTGGTGTTACTGATGATTCAATTTGAGGAGGTCCCTGAAACCAAAATGTGTTGGATTGTTCCTGTAGTTTAAGTGAATTGATGAACACAGCATTACGCCTGTTTCCTCCCCTGATGATTTACGCTGCGTTCTTAGTTGACTAACTACGATCTGATGTGTGCGTTGGGCCTATTGAGCCGCTGCATACCGTCCGCAGTGATCCCATATGTGGATGGACTCGCTCGAGGTGCCTGTTAGACATGTGACTCTTGGTGAGTCATGGGTCACGACGTCGTCATTTTCGAAGGCAGCGCAGTGAGTCGGGTTAATACCGTATTGTTAAACCACATGAGTTTGCTTCATTATTTTTGTGGTTGCTCTTGTTCTTTCAGGGAAATGTAGCCTCACTCAGTTTAAAGGTGCACATGGCGAGATCCCTACACCTTATGTGTACAAATAAAAGCACTGGGACACGAGTGTAGATTCTAGTATTTTCCGCTCAGTCACTTAAGTGAGTGGCTGCTCTCCCCAGTGTAGTCCGCCTCACTACCAGTAGCTGCTGCTGGCTTTACCCATTTCTGCTTTTTATGTTAAACTGGCAGTTTCAGATGCTGTAGAATATTTTACTGTTTCACATTTTCTATCAAGTACATTTTTTTTTTTTAGCTGAAATTGCAAAACCGCTTGTTGAAAACGTTCAAATAGTGCAAGACGTGTGGTCGAGACACGGTGTCGTTCAAACGTCCTCCAAGTCAGATACTCCTGTGCTCACTCTGGGTAAATGCTTGGGTCAGTAAAAGTTTGTGGCTTATTTTTTGCAGCAGCTGGTGATTTGACCAAAAGCCACCCCTCAGGCTTAACACCGCAGGACTCATTAATGCAAATCTAGCTTTAACACACTGTTGGGAAATTGGCTCCTTCCGCTTCGTAGCGAGGATGTTGAAAAGGCAGGAAGGAGGTGAGAACACGGAGGGGTTAAGGCAGCTCAACTGGGGGGTCTGAAATTAGAAATATAGCATTAAGTACATTTTACTTGTATTTGTGGCTCAACCTGGGAAGTAAATTATTGTCCTTGAATCTGAAAGTGAAATAAACCACGAGTGTGTCGCTGCTGACAGGAGACCCACGCTGATGTCTTGGGTGGAGGGAATAATCTTTTTAATAAAGGGAATGTTCCCTGTTTCTAAAATTAGCGAAACGTCGTCATTATTGTTGTTTTTCTTGGCTCTTGTCACTTCAAGGTTCTTGAATGTTGTCCTGTCATGCTGTAAACATCACCAATTAAATTGACATGGCCCAAGAGTTTTGCCTTCAGTTTGACAATGTTATAATGAGGCCGATGTAATACAATGTGCTGTTTATAGTTATTGTTCTTCTAAGCAATGACAGTGGGAGGTAAATCAATTCAAAGGATCAGTGGTGACAAGGTTTAAAACACTGCATTGCTGTTTTCACAACACTGTCTTTAACTCTTAATAGCTTGAGGTTTTTTCTGCAACCTAAATATTGAACCATTCAGTATTTTTTTTTTTTTTTAAACCATTTAATCATATCTTACTTCAATAGCCGTGATGGCTACAACCTGATGACGCTTGTGAGAGGAATACTGGCAGACAATCTAATTGAAGGTTGGAACAGAACAGAAATTCATCTCCCTTAATATGAAACGGTCACTCTTAAGACATGAACATTTTCAACAACAAACTGGAATTGAGCCTTTAAACTGGCCTCATGCATTTAAAAGATTGAGAATTCACGTCTGTCTGACGTCACTTCAATTCATTTAGTTTGTCTCAAATATAAACCAAACTTCACTGAAAATACTAAGCTACTCAATTATGTTTCAAAGGGAAAAACAGGTTTTAATTATTTGAATCTTGAATCTTTTGAAAAAGAGAAGAGCATATTAGTGGAATCGTTTTAGTGGCCTGTAGTGCACCATTTTAAATGGTTGATTTTGAAATAATGCAAAATGATTCACATTAGATTGAATTTGTTTCTGATCTTGTGGATTAAGTTACATGTCTTTTTTTTTTTTTTTTCAAAAGAGATCTGACCCTACTTTGCTCATCACTCATCCAACTTTGTCACGTTACTCCGGGCACTGCTGTGAACTGCATGCATGTGTGCACGCAATGTGCTTTTAACACATGGATAAACTGGTTCCTCTTGGCGTGCTCATACAGTGATCTGAAGTAAAGACGAACCGTGACATGATTGTCTTCGCCTGCAGGATGCTGTCACTTGACCGTCCTGTTTCCATTGGCTCCCGCCGCCCTGTAATGAGGGTACACAGCAGCACTGCAGGTTAACATTCTGCCCATCTCCTGGAGAAGCCATGTCAATATGGATTAAGGGACTGAAGTAGCCCTAGAGGGGTAAAAAAACAAAACCCTGTCCCATCTTCAATTACAATAAGGCAAACAGCTTGTGGAAATGAAAAAGGGAGGAAATTCAGTTCAACAGCATCTGGTCCAACAAACAAAAGATAAAGTAAACATTATTAGCGTAATAACATTTTCAATTAGATTAACCCACATGACTGCAAGCTAATGGAACACAAAGCCCAAAGTTAATTAGATGGAATAACTTGTAATTACAACACGGTGAAGACCCTTACAGGTTGCAACTTGAATGATGGTTCAGAGGATTTGGCCTGATTGTCTGTAGTCATCTTCGTAGGCATGCGCTGTGGGGCGATATTCCTCCGACTAGCTCTGTACCATACAGGAGATTGAAAAAGAAAGGTCATACTCTGACAATAAGTTCTATCACCGGCGCTTCTTCTACTTCTTCCAATACGCTACGGGCTATTACCACCGGCGTACTGAAGATCGTGTCCCTGCGGTACGTTCACAGCACATTGAGGGGCAGCTACACTTGTAGGAACAATAACTGTCGAGCCGCTCGTGTTCTAAATGATAAAAGGAGATTGAAAGGGTTTTATGATCTGAGTGGAGTCCAGGTGTTGTTTCAGTGGCGTCATTTAACATCTGCTATCACGAGCATCATCTGCTTTTTTTTTTTCTTGCTTTTTTTTATTCAATAAATGATGATTCAGAATTTTCATGGAGTGGTTAAAGATGTTTTTAGATTATTTCATTCTCCATGAACAAGCTTTCCACTGCTAATCTCCCTAAGAATCAGATTTATTTTAAGTTCAAACTGTCATTTGACATGCATACCTAGAGAGGTATGTGAATACATAGGCACTTGACTTCATCCAATCCATATGTCCTTTTATCACGTGACTTGTTGCTCGAACATAAGTAAGAAGTACAGAAATTAGGTTTTCTTCCCAATGTCATGACTGAATATTTAGCTCTTTGCCTTGAGGTGAGAACTCTGACACATTCTGACCATCAGTGATCAAATCACTTAAAGTAGAATGTTTCTTTCTGTGGAGTCCTTTTCCATAATGCTCACTGATACTTAATAATAATAATATTATTATTATTAATAATAATAATAATATTATTATTATTATTATTATTAATATTATTATTATTATTATTATTATTAATAATAATAATAATAATAATAATAATAATAATCTGAGCCTGAGTGGCAGTAATAAGCGTTCTTGCAGACGTATAGCCGGTGAACCTTTTTGCCCTGAGTGAATACATTGCAGACCATTTAGTGGCTGCAGCTTTATCCCTCAATACTTGACCAATTTGGTGCAA